AACACTTAACAACTACCACTTACTTCCACCAATCTCTCCCCCCCCTTCCCCTCCCGACATTCTCTCAATCCTTACTAATAATTCTCAAATCCTGTAACAACTCTTTATCTCTTATTTTCCACATTATTTTTGTTTACTCGCAGTCTATGTTACACACTTCATAACTAACTTGTCTCTAAACCTTCTTAGAGCTACTCTCTCTTTCACTCTCATTTGCATTTCAATATATTGTCACGTATGTTAGCGTGGATTACTGGCATTAATTAATTTAGTTAAGTTATTATTTGCACTCTAATCGACAACTAATATTACGTCAGAATTAGTCGATATTCTTTGTTATAATCGATTACCTAAAATGATTGCAGTGATAAATGATATTTTGGACTAGTTAGATTAGCTTTCTTCGAAATATAGTTCATGATGAAGTTTTTATTTCATACCACAGAATTGCCACTCTGCAATCTGCAAAATAACCTTTCTCACGGAAGTCATTGCTTTCTTTTTTATCATTCTTATTTGCCGCTTGCTAATAATAGCACATCTCGAATTTCAGTGTTGTAATTTCAATTGTTCTAATTTCATTTTTATATAAAGAATATTCCGAATGAAAAAAAAAGGTTAAGATTTTAATATGTATGACATTCTATACCTTATATTATTGATTCACCGTGCATTACTGTAGGATGTGTTGTCTTACTTTATGAAAATTTTGCTTCTTGCTTGGTTGCATTTGTTAGTTTTTTTTTTTCTTTCACCTTTTCTTCTGTTTTCTTAATTTGTTCATTTATTATACTTCAGATATTAAATTTATAGATTTCAACTCATCTGTGATATTATGATGTGGAAAGGATGAAGAAATTGCTATAGCACCTCCATTGGTTATCATAAAATCATTTGCATTTTGATGTCAAAACAATTGGAAGATGGGAATTATCCGGAATGGTTGCTGTGCTATAAAATCATTTATTTCAGCAGTAATTGAATGGCGTTCTGCTGCTACAGCACCTTATTTTATGTTCATCAATAGCGCTTTTTGGTAAGTAAACTTCAAAACGATCAATTTTAATTCAGAAAGGTGAACTATAACTTAGTTTTTGTTCGTGTTGCTACGGATACAATCGTTGAATCGTTTGGATATTACATTTTACTATCCGATGAAAAAGGAGATAGTATGAGATAACTGAAAAAATACTGAGAGTTTTTGTGTAAAATGTAAATAGGAAAAATTGAGTTCAAAAAGGATATCTAAGAGAATTAATATTAATTTACTAAAGATCATTTAAATTTCAAATTTTTTAAGCAATTTCTTTTTCTGGCAATTTTTTGAACGACTCTCTTTTCCAGGTGGAGTGTCTTTTATTTGGATAAAGGAACACAACTACGTTTACTGGTCTCATTTGCTGCGGGTATCTTTAGCTGGGACATTTTATTATCCTCAACTTATGATCGGAGTATTTTGTTCCACATCTTGACGTGGCCTATACGAAGTGTGCTAAGAGTTGGTTTTGCTAATTTTAATTGGTCGAAATTTAAAATTGCATGCTTTCAATAAGCTTACTGCGAATTTAGATCTAGTATGATCTAGTATGAGAGGAATGAGATTGTACAGTAAAATTAATATGGTATTCTAGGTCAGTTTTATTTTTCAATCGTTATGCTTTTTTTAATTCAAAAACTTTTATTTCTTACATCTCTTAACTGTAATATAGGTCAACAATGTAGTTTTCATAATTTCAGAAACGTTTAATATTTTTTATAGACAATAAGCGTCGTGATGGCTTTATGCAGTGCGCAATTCCTTTATCGGATCGAATTTGAAAAAGCATGTTGGACTGCATATAGCGCAGGTTTTTTTTTCCTTAGGCTTTTTAAAAATTTTAGGACTACATTGTCTAAAGACACAAGACTTACTTTTTATTGATTATAGCTAATTGTTATTTCAGTTTTCTTATCTTTTCCGGCAATACTTTATTTCCACTAGAGAGATATTGCTTTTTAGTTGTATTATTGATGATAAATCCTGTGTGGCTACACCACCAAATACCACAAAAGATCAATGAGTGCTTATATACTGCATGTACAACAACGAAATATGTCGTCCAAATAACTATCATTTCTCCCGTCTATTCATTTTACAAAATCCTTGACTATATCATCAGGTTCAGGTGGTTAATAGGTTTGTTTTCTTATTTTAAGAGTTAAATATCTTGATTTCAATTGTTTGTTGATATTATTTCTCATTGAAACGTAAAAATTTTAGCAATTTCAGAAGCATTTCAAAGCTTTCAAATTATTTTTGTTCTTTTTCTTCTGTTTTAAAAGGCAAAGGTAAACAGTGTGTTTACTGTTGTTTATAGTTTATTGAATTACTTGTTGAAAAAGTTTAGGAGCTGTGGAACTTTTATTCTTGCTTGATTTTAGCAATATTAGAAAAAGTTAAAAAAGAATTGCTGAGAATGAAAGCTGCAGTAAGAAGTGCCTATGTTGCAACAGTTACCAAGTTATACGCTGGAATGAATGCAATGCTAGACGCTACCAATTCAATCTTATTCAATATTGAAAACTTCATATCACATATAGTTTATGAATTGAAGAGTAAGTTTTGTAAATTTTTCACTGCTATCAATTGGTTGCACTTTATGAATACTGATTTTCAACGAAAATTCTGTTAGTTGAGTGATTGGCGCAAAGAATAATGATATATCTTTTATAGTGGCAGTTAGAAATGGAATAGTATATGCAGTAACAGCTATAAGAAATGGAATAATATATATGATAACGAGTACAAAGAATGGAATAGTTTTTATAATAACGCTTCTCAGAAATGGATTATATTCTGGATCTTTGGCAGTAAAAAATGGAATAATTGGCGGGATTCTGCAGCTAAAAAATTGTTTAATTATGGGATTTAATAGATCAAAAGATGCATTTGATCATGCTGTCATTATTACGAAGAATTATATTCGCTATGCACTTACTACCGTTCAGAATTCAATTTTGAATTTTTTCTCTGCTGTTGCAAAATGGATACAAATGGAAATTATAAAACCAATTCGGAATGCATTTCGCGCAGTTATCCAGTTTCTGCAGTATTGGCTCTGCGCTCATTGGTGGCCAAATCTCAAATCTTGGTTAATACACCGGCTACAGTTATTCTTCAACTATTTCTGCTTCGGTATTGTGTATGTTTTTTGTGGCTATTGGATCAATCCATTCGTCTCTTTTCTTTTGAGACATTTCAAACGTCTATGTGCATATTTCCAACAGTGTGTCGTGAATCCAGTTAAAATGTGAGTGATTTCGATTTTAAAACTTTGATTTCACAATTTTAGGTTTTTTTTTTTTCAAATCTATAGAAAGTAAAATTCTCACTGTTTGGTTTAGAAGTAGCTGACAAATTCTTTTTTGTGTACTTCTCTTCTAATCTTACATAAATTTTTTGGATATTTGATATGCTTTTTCTAAATCTCTTTTTTCTCCTAACTGCAGTTTTTAATGTTTGTAACGGGAAAACTACTGAGAAATGATTGACGAGGCGAGTAGAAAAGAAAATGTATAAAAGTCCTATCTTTCTTAATTAAGCTAATTCCTTAGCTGCTCGATTAAGAAATTTAGGATTTTGTTTGCTTAATTGTTGACAGCGTAATTTCCGAAGAATTAGTTGTTGTTTATTAGGCTAAATTTATTCTAAATGGTCCTTGTCAATCGTTTGTATCTTAACAATTTTTAAACTTTTTTCTACACGTTTCAGAAGGATTAAACACCAAATTGATAAAGCTTTGATATACCTAAAACAGATGTTGCATAATTTGGCTATAGAAGTGCGCGATAGTATACTTTGGCCCTTCGTTGTATTGCTTATTGCCTTAATTAACAAGGCATGCACTTTTAGTATTTTTTCTTTTAATTCCAAATAGAGGCAGTATATTTTCACTTTCAATCGGGGATGAGAAGTTTAGGATAAGAATCTTTTCAAGAGTTCTTAAACAATGACTCTCACATGCTTTTTAAAAATTGCGTTTAAATAAGAATCTTTTACTTAAAAGTTTATTGCAGACATTATTTCCAATATTTTCTAACAGCTTTTTTCCAGGTCTGTACACATCTTTATTGTATTTTACTCCAACCGATAATTGATATCTTATATAAAAAATATAAAATTTGTGAAGATTATCTATTAATTTATTGTTTGGGTCCGGTTTGCCAGGTTTTCGTCGATCATATCCCTGATAAGTCACCATTTTGTGGTATGTTTGATGTTTATCTCTTTTTTTTTTAAAAAAAATCTTTTAAGTTTTTAGTTGTTTTATCCATATTACTTGAAAAAAAGAAACTAAACTCTTTGTCTTCATATAGTTCTTTTTTAAAATAAATTCTTATTTTCTGGCATTGAAAATTTCTGGTATATTATTTGGTATGGAACAAGCAATAACAAAATGTTATAATTTTTATGTAATGGATAATTTGGATTTGAGACGCAAACTGATTTTTTAGATGACACGGATACTGAATTAGCGGACTTATTGCCACCTGGTTTCGCTAATGGAGAAGAATCCGATAATGACGAAACCTCCGACAAACCTTCGTTACCAAGTCGATCACATAGTCCTCTGACAGGTCATTTTTAAATTTCCATGTTTTTTGCAAGATTTTTGAGCGGAACAGCATGAGCCAATTTTTTCATTTCTCCAAAAGTGAGGAAATATATTTTACGTTTTTGACTATTATCTGCTAAAGATCATCCATCATCTTTCGTCATCTTCAGTTGAGGATATATTCGATAAACAATTTATGGGAGTCGTTAATTTGTATTTTTATCCGTAACTTTTAATTTGTCTCTTTGTATACTGTTAACTTATCAAGAGACAGTTACAAATTATCCCATCCTTTGTTTTCAGAAGATGAACGCGATTTCGTTCGTGGTTTGAAATTCCCGAATTTAGATACTTCAGATTCAAGTGAAGCTGAATTCGCATTGAAACCGAAGTCAAAGTCTCAGAAAGTATTGAGAAAAAAGTCAAAGGCTCATCCGAAAGATCCGGCACCGTCGGCCTGCAATGATGAGTTAATTTCAAAAGAACAGAAAGTAGGAAAGAATAAACAGCGTTCGTCGTCAACCAGTAGTCATTCCGAAAGCGTAATTTCGTCGTCTGCTCAAAATGCATCGGATGATGCAGAACTTCAAAACTTAGATGCATTAGATTTTGAATCGGATGATCGATCGCAAACAGAATTTCTGGAAAATACTGTGGAGATTCAAAAACTGAAAGATTCTAGAGATAGAAGGTCAAAGAATAGAAAGCAAAACACGAATCAGGAGGAAGTAGAAGAAATTGAAGTTTGTGGCACAGAACAAATTAATGTAAATTCAGTAGCATTCGTCGATAGTTTGGATGGTAGCTTCGAAGTGCTTGATAAATAATATATTTATTTTTAAGATTGTTGCTTTTTAAACTATTTGTTGTACACAAATCAACTATAGTCTCAAATGCAATAAAATTTGGACGAGGAGCAATTGTACTTTTCGGATTTTGAAAGGTGAACCGTAATAATGTTGATGTGTTGAACATTTCACAATTTGGACATCTTCTGGCGTTTACATTACCTAGATATGTTCGAATTCTTTTTTATTTCTTTAATATTATTTATGTATCTCGAACATATTTGGTTAGCCTTTTAATCCTCTTTTTCGAAAATTTGCATTGAAAAAGAAGCCATTTTAAACGAATGTAAGCAACATTCGTATCTAGTATGCTTAAGATGTCACTTTTTCCAAAGCTCATATCTGACCTTGATTTCGGTATTGGGTTTTGATAGTTCAAAAATAATTTGTTCCTCCATATTTTCTAGGAACTGTTTCGCCTTTGCAAAATAGATAACGGTCGAAGTACTGTCCGCAACAATTAGATCTGCTTTACTGTTTTATCAAGCAATAAATGCTTTGATATATTTTTGAATATCATTACATTGTTTTTATGAAATGATAAAAAAAATTTAGTATTAATACCGGAATATGTCAAACCTATAAGAAATATTTTTTTAGACATCTGAATTTTTTAATATTCAAGGGGATTTGTTTTTAATATATGTTTTTAATATTTACATGGTTTTTAAGATTCAAGAAATGAAAGCTTCTGCATCACTTTATTCTCAGTAATAGATAATTTGCGTGAGGAGTACAATGGAAAGTAATGGACAGCTATAACTTAATCAAGATCAAAAACAAAGATTCTTTGTAATATTACTGAAGATATCTATAACAGAGATTATTGCATACGATTTGGGAAGGATTCTCTACAGGAGAAACTAGATCTATAAGACTTAATATTAGTATAACCCCTGCCAGGACTGTGAAACGTATAGAATTCCTTAGTGTGTCATCTAAAAGCACGACAGGAAAGTTCGCTCTGAAATTTCTAATTATTCAGGATCTTAAAAATCCAAATCACTTTCAGAAATTCACATGTTGGTTTATAGATACAGTTTAAACATTGTATAATTAAATCTATGCAACAAAGATCAATAAGAGATTAATTTTTCAGTGGCTCAGAAGTTGCTGCATTCCAAATTTGTTGGATTAATGCTCGAGCGTTCTATACGAATAATTAAAAAAGTGAAATTTTTTAAATGTACAATATATGTTTAATGCCACTTGGCCATTGATGTAGTTACGTCCCTAGTTCTGACATCATAATTCTAATTTCTTGTCATCTCTAGCTGGTAGTAACAATAAGATTTCAAACTACACTCATTCACAAGAAAATTGAAATATAACTTTCAGTCAATAAGATCGTCAGTTTCAGCATGGTTTCTTTATAAGGGCATATAATTGTATAGCCAAATCTGTATTGAGCCAAAATCCAAAAATGTAGCAATCAGGTATATTTTAGTCGTGCCATCATTCGTTCCAACTCGGAGATGTTTTTCCTGTTAAATTTTTAGAAAATTAAAATTTATTGGAACCAAATGCGAAGAATCGATTTAAAAATTGGATTTGAAAGAGAAAAACATGACATAGTTCATTCAAAGTTTCGTGTTCCCTCCTAAAACTGCCTATCAATTATCAGATTTATGCATCAATAACAAAAATCACAATTATTCCATGTATATATTTACCTCAGTTTTTCGAATATTTCCTCTCTTGTCATTTTTTGTAATCGAGGAGAGGTTATAGAAGGAAATGGCCTGGGCGGTATTGGTGGTGATAACGGAGCCAGCAGCGGTGTGTCATTGTATGACCCAGCAGGTGGAAGAGTTTCACATGAAAGAGAGAGCTGAAAATAACAAAAGATAAATTAGGTTTTTGTTACTATCACAACAAACAGTATAGCACTGGACGAAAAGCTGTCAGTAGAAAAATTTAGATCAAAGAGCAACTTTTCAATAATGCCATTGAGACTAATAAAAGTATGTATTAACAGTGCCTCTTTAGTATCTTAGATCGTTGTGTTTCACCTCTTTTCCAAAATAAGGAATAAATTTGCAGCATAGAAAATGTTCTATATGATGCAGATCAAAAACCTAAAACATCAAAATATTTCACTATAACTGACAAACAATCGAACTTTTTTTTAAACTTTACCAAAACCCCAATAATATAGCAATGCTTACAGCAATTATTGGTGCTTGGTCTGAAATCGATAAATCCGACATTTCGTATTCCGCCTTTCCCGTATCAGTAGGTGGCAATTGGAGTGATATAAAACCAATTACTTTATCTGATCCAGCAACACATCGTTTCCATAATTTTACTACCAAGTTCTGACGACTTCTCGATACCTAAAGCAGGCAGAAAATTTGCAACTTGGAAACTCAAAATCTATATTCATTGCAACTGCAGAATAATCCAACAGATTAAAAGATTATTCATTTCTTGTTTTTATTCCGTAACTTCATTCTGCACATAAAATTAAGAACTATAAAAAATAATCAACAAACATTGAATGTTTCCGTCCAGTTCCATTCTGGATGTAAGGTTCCAGCACGCACTGGTGAACTCAAAGTCCGTCCATCTTCTCCGATCACCGTTAGATAAGTTGATGGTGCAACAGCATCACCTCTGCAAAATGAAAATATGTATCCATTTCCCCTAGAAAAATGATTTCAATAAAGATCTGAAAATTAATGAGAAATAACCTGGAATCGAATGAAAGAGGCAAACGACGAGCCGAATAAACTGTTAGTTTGATTCGATAAGATGGGCTTGTTGAACAAAGCTCACGTATTGTTGCACGTGGAATGTTAACGTGCTGAGGAGAAGACAACGGAGTATTTTGTGGAGTGCTACTGCCAAGATTCAGCGGTGGAAGAAATGGTCTCAACACTGAAATATTTTTGAATAGTTAAAATTAAGTTCCAAAATTTTTTCTCTGTTCACTATAAAAAAAAATTAAAAGCAAGAATGGTAATGCAATATGGAATATAAGCAAGAAGGAACTCAACTTGATCAGCGATCCTTGAACCACGAGGTGGAGATGAAGAGAAAGCACGCCGTTGTGGTAATGGAGATATTTGTCGACCAGAAGTGTAAATCGATTTTCTAGACGAAGATCTCGACCTGTCACGAGTAGCTGATCCATTCTGCGGTAAACTACCATTTCTCATCCATTCTAGTCTTTCCATTAACAATCGTATATGTGATCCAAGATCAATTTTTATCTGTAGCACTAAAGTTATGACAATTTAATTAATTGACGAAATTGAACAGCGGAAATTAGAGTCGAAATTACAACTTTTTTTTGAATTTTTAATATCATCTAAAATCTCCAACAACAATCGGCGAAAAGCACGTTAGAAAAACACGAATTAAATTCATCCTTCTAAATAAGCAGTTAAACAGTGCTTAATTTAAAAACGAACTAAAGCAGAAGCTGAAAATCCGGGACCAGCAAACAGAAAATCTCGACAGATAATGAAAGGAGAGATAACAAGTTCCTCCAAAGGCACCTCACAGTTTCCCAGTTTTTTAATCTAGAAAATTCATGGATATTTGAATTATCATTTATATATCAAATTTTTAATAATGATTTGTCTGCAGAGAACAAAGTGATATAAAACACAAAACGTAGTGAAAAAGATATATAGAAATAGTTCTGTCTTTCTTTACCAAAACAATTAAATTTTAATTTCTTTCATGGAAAATATTCATAACAAAAAACAATCCATTTCAAAATAAAGAAAAATAAGCCCTTTCTAATTTAAAACTCTCCTCTCGCTATTTGCTTATATCAACTAAAAGCGTAGTAGAGGACTAAAGTCAGATTAAAAAAAATTAAAACTAACGGAATATTTTCCCAATGTGTTTAATTTTGCATAAACTGCTAACAGTAACGATGATCGTTTCCATAAATTAACCAATTCCGGAATCATTCTAATGCGTATAACCCGTTTATGCCGGAAATGAATCATATCGCCATTAAAGTATTTTGCGTGTACGCGAACCCTTGCTTTCAGTGAAGTAGATGCAGCATCTATTGATGGAAACTGATATTCCAGAATAAATCTGAACTATGAAAGTTGAGCAATACAAAAATGAAATTTCAATAAAGTCGTTAAAACTGCTTAATATTTCAATAAAGTCGTTAAAACTGCTTAAATCACAGCATTTTTTTTAGCAATATCTGCTGAAAATAAATTTTAATTGATTCATTTAAGCTTCAGTTAGACCAATAAAACGCACCTAATGAAAGGGATAAAAATTAAGCGGAAAAAAAAAATGTTACCCAAACAAAGATCGCTTCCTGATCACTTCCATGATAAATTCATCTTCTTCATTCATGTAAATATTTTCCAGATTTAACCTCACGAATGTAATATCTTTCAGAACACGTGAAACATTGATATTTTGAAAATCTTCTACAAACAAAAGTCCATCATATATCTTGTACGATAAATATGAAAGAAAATAATATAACTTATTTGATCTTTGATTAAGAATGCAATAAATCCACTATACTAATTATTTTGCCCATAAATCCTTCTAAATGTTCGTGAAGAAAACGCAATTATAACTTTTCACCAATTAATTAGCAATGAATTTCGATACTTACGATAGGTATTATCACGGATATATTGCCGTGCTTCATCATAACCAGTCATTCTTCGTAATGCCAGATCTTTTTCCAGCTTATCAGTTATATTAAGTCATCAAAATGCTGCAAAAAAAAACTCTGCTCATTTCAACAAATTTTTCCTCGAGATTTCCCTAATTATGGTAATGCGAAAGAAACAAAAGTGAAATTTAAATTGTGGAATTTAATTTCGAAAGATGGAATTTAATTTCAAATAATATAAGAGCGGTGAATGAAGCGGATATGAATGTAAATGAAAGTCGATTACCATGGAAAAGCGTTGCTAACATGAAAATATAAGTGTGTGTCCCGAATTTTCTTGTCCAACCGTACGATCAGTGAAAATTTTCAAAATTAGAAAAGTAGCTGGACCGCGAATTACCGGAAAAGAAATTACGGGAAATACAGTTTTGGAAGTTGTTGGGAGCACAGTAGAATTTACCGGTCAGCTATGCGGAAAAGCGGTCATTCCAAGCAGTTATAGTGACTTCAAAAGATAAATAATCAAAATTGCTCGCAATTTTAAATCGCAAAAATTCCTCTGAATTTTTAGCTTTTTGCTTTTTTCCATTAC